CTCAGACACCCCCAGCGCACCGCCATCACACAGGATGGTTTTGGTGGTGGGGAAGCCCCGAATATCTATTGTGGTAAGGCTTTATAGTAAGCAGCAAGCAGGAGGTGGTGGTGGTGGTGGGTAAGTGTGCAAGCATCTCATTGGAAAGCTACCACGGCCTTGAACATAATTGGCTGGTACTAGGAGTCAAGCCATAAACTTAATCTGCTCCTTTCTGCATTGGTGGCATTAGGCAGGGGTGGGCTTGTAACCTGGAGGTGCAAGTTTGTTGGGGGAATAACTTGGAAACTAATGCCTGAGTTTACCTGAGCTCAAGCTTAGGTCAGATTCTCTAAAATGGAGTCTGAACTTAAAAGATTTAGCCTCTCAACAGCATAATATTGGATCTTTGGATCAATATTAGATCAATGTGGTCCTTTGTCATGAAGATCCTGCAACTTTAGATCAGCAGGACCAGCCCTTTCACACACTCTAACAGTTCAGAGATAATATAGATTTTAGGGGTGGGTCTGGGTGCTTCAGCTTTCTTCTTTTCTTAAAAGATTTTATATGAGTACACTGTTGCTGGTTTCAGACACACCAGAAGGCAGCATTGGATCCCATTACAGATGATTGTGAGCCACCATATGGTTGCTGGAAACTGAACTCAGGACCTCTGGAATAGCAATCGGTGCTCTTAACCATCGAGCCATCTCTCCAGCCTTCATCTTGCTTTATTATATTGTTTAGAACCACCTGCCTGGAGCTGATGCTGTCCATAGTGGGCTGGGCCTGCTCACATCCATCATTAATCGAGAAAATGCTCCACAGTCTTACCCACAGGACAATTTGATGCGGGGTAATTCCTTAATTGAGGTTCCTTCTTTCTAGCTGACTCTAGTTTGGGTCAAGTTGACAGAAACTGACTAGCACACCACCCTTTTCGTTTTGTGAGGCTGCATTGTTCACTTTTGCCTGAACTTAATTTGGCTAGGCTGGCTAGCCGGAGACAAGTAGAAATACACCCATCTCTATCCTCTTGGCAGTAAGATTACAAATAGGCCATGAAGCTCAGCTTCTTCCCTCTCTCCCTCCCTCCCTCCCTCCCTCCCTCTCTCCCTTCTTTTCTCCCTCCCTCCCTTCTTCTCTCCCTCCCTTCTTCCCTCTCTTCTTCCCTCCCTCCCTCACTCCTTCCTTCCTTCCTTCCTTCCTTCCTTCCTTCCTTCCTTCCTTTCTTTCTTTTTCTTTTATTCTTTCATGTAGGTCCTTAGGGGATGGAGTTCAAGTCCTCGTGGTTGTACAGCAAGCACTTTACTGAGCCATCTCACCAAACCCTGACGCTGAAGTATTCTTATAAAAAGTGAGGCAACTGGGGTATAAAAAAGTCTTAGGTTCAGATTTCCTGGCTATATGACATAAAACAACAGGAAACATGTGTAAGCTAAACAATGCAGCGATTTAAACTTCATCTGAAATTATTCTTTGCTTTTTTATTCTTTATCATTCAGGTTAGAAGTAGAGCTGGAGTGCGGATGGGGGGGGGAGAAACAATAATAGCAACAGATCTATTTACTAAGAACTTCCTGTGCAACTACTGTTAAGAAAAACAACCTGTGTTTTCAGAGATGAGAAACAAACATTCAAAGTAAGTTTAGTGACAGAATCTGGATTGCAATGCAGGCTTTTCTGGTTGCAATCTCTCTCCATTTATACTGTTCCATAATAATCTCTAGAGAAAATCATGTACAAGTTATATTACCCAGGAAGTCAGGTTTATAATAATCAATACAGTGCTAGAAATGGATATGTCATTCAAGGGTTCATTCTTCTTCAACATCCATAGCTTGGAAGACACAAGTTGAAGTGTCAAGTGATCATGAGCCAGCATTTAAAAAGGCTGACAGAGACAGAGAACCAATAGATGCATTCTATCACGAATCTTACAGATATTTATGTTTGTCAAAGTGTTTCATTTGACTATTTTCCTGGCCTATCAGAGAGGTACAATTAAGATCTCTTGAAAAATTACAGAGATGAAAATAATTGTTTATCAATCTGTCCTTGCATGGAAAATGGAAGAGAAGGGCTAAATCTTTTGAGGTTAATTGATGAACCAGCCTGCCTCCATCTTGGATTTGAAACCCATCTTATAGTAAAGACAAAATAGGTTCATGCCTATTTATGATTAAATCTCTGTTTCTCAAGAACTGGGCTATGTTCCACCTGTAACCTTAATTACAAATGGCTCTGTACTGTCTGTTCCAGAATAAGGAAACATTCTTTTCAAAAAGATAGTTATGATTATCTGTTGTTATGACCACCTTGTTATGGCCACTGTGCATTCATGTTTTGTTTCAGGAGGTTGTTATGACCAACTTGTGTATTCTGTTTCTGTAGTCCCGAGTATTTGCCTGTCAATCCCCCACTGGAAACCCCTACCCTTCAGCTATAAAAACCTTCCCCATGTTTCTTGAACCCTACTTTTAGGGAGAGATAGCTGATGTACACAAATTTTAAAAAGCTTGCTTTAATTAATTTGGTTATAATGATTTAGGTCAGTGAACTTTTTCCTCAAATCTGTGGGATTAACATAATCATATACTCATTCATCCAGTGATCACGTTTATAGTTTATGTAGAACACAATTGGGATAAGTTGATCTTGTAAAGAATGTATGTGTTATTTAGGGGTTTCTACCCGACCTTAGATCATCTAGTTCCCAAGTAAAAGACACATATGCCTTTATATTTTATAAGCCTTTGAGCTTATTATAATGCTTATTATATAAGCCTTTGAGCTGAGTAAATATCAATCCTCTTTGCTATTTTGTCTACTTCCCTGTCAAAAACTCTAAGATAACACTTGCCATGTTCCAACTGGGCAGCTTCTATTCCAACAGGCTGGCCCTCAAGGCTATGTGCTAAGATTCACCTACCCCATAACAACTTCTTCCTCCTCCTCCCTGTTCCCCTCCTCCTGGTTCCTGCCTCAGACCCTAAGCCCAGGAACCAAAGCCCCACCTACCTCTCTACTGCCCAGCTACAGGCTGTAGGCATCTTTATTAACCAATCACAGATAATTTAAGTCAAGGTTTATACAACAAAAACTGGTTGAGGATCTGGTAGCCTTAGAGCAACCAGATCTTGGGATACAGAATTTAGCATTTGAATACAAGCAGCATCAGACCAATCCACTACGAATGCTCTTACACAGTGTAAAGTTTTTGGCTCTGAAATATCTCCTACAAGCTCAGTCAAGGGGGTCTGCAAGAGAGAGGGTGTGGATGGAGAGGCAAGAGACTCGAAGAATGGAGACAAGACAGGATATCTGATCAAGTCCCGTTTGTTGAAAGAAAATCATGAGTATATAAGCACACGCAGGGGAATGCAACTGAAGACACTTTACCACGTGTGCCTTGCAGCTGGGGGCACTAAACAACAAAACAAGATATGTTTGAAAAAAAACAAGATATTTACCAGAGTGTGCTTATCTGTTGTGGGCTGTTGAAAAACAAGTCTCTTGTCGGGGTATATGCCCCGAGATGGCTGCAAAGATGATAGCTGCTTTCTGCCAGGACTTCACTCCCAACAACAATTGTTTTAAAATCAAGTGATGGTTTTAAATTAGATTTAGATTGTAAAAGCACAATTATATTTATCCTAGCAGGTATTTTTAAAAGATTCTTTTATTTACAGAAATAATCTTTACATTTTTTGCTTTCCAGACGTGTGAGGTGATTAAGGCAGAGTCACAATTAGGAAGAGTCCTCTAGTATTATCCTTCCTGTGTCCTGAGTAAGAGAAAGTCATGGGTATTAACATTCCCCCTTTACCCAGTTCCTGTTCCCTTATCACACTCCATCTCCACACTCCTTCCTGCTTTTCGAGGGAATATGAAGGAGCACACAGGAGGTAAGTCTGTTCTCTATGCTACACCATAGCATTCAGCAGTGTTTGTGTTTAACTCCTTTTGTGAATCTAGCAGATTCTCCCTCGTTCTCACTTCAATACTTACTATGCCTTGTAGGTTGGTGTCAACGTGTTTATCAGCTACAGATACACTTTTAAGCTACTTGAACCCAAACTTTTGTCATAGGAGGCCTGAAAACTTCAACTCCACTTTCACTTTCCTTTGTATAACGCTGTTCAGAGGTGGAAATGTAATTTTCAGCATTTTCCCTCCCCTCCCCATTTGGGGTAGCTGTTATTACCTTTCTCCTACCATTCACTTGTTAATGGCCTGTCATCCTTTAGTTTTCTTTCATTAAAAGTTACCATTTATTAAATTTGTCAGTTTGTTTATACATGGGCACCCATTGACTACTGTCTGAGTGCTTCTTAAGCAGGCATTGTTTTAGGCATTTTACATTTATCAACACACTTATCTGTCAAGTTAATACTTAGAAGGAAGCAGATGTAAATGCAAGGTAACTGGAGGCCATGGAATCAGTGTGCTTAGTTTCACTGCTACCTTTACAAAATGGGCTCTCACATCACATATGATGTACACTTCACTATCTCTAACCTTATTCTGCCCCTTGATCTCCCACCTCACCCGCCCCCGCCCCCCCCATCCCACAGGCTGCCCACTTCCTCTCATTTTCCTCGAGTCCACCGCTCCCAAGCCTTCACATCTTGTATCTTTTCTCTGACATACTAGAGTCCTCTTCCTTCCGGAAATTTTCCGGGTAGCTGAAACTCCTCACCAGACTCTGCCTCTCACTGGGCGGCCAGAGCGCATGCGTACGGCATCGCTGTGTAGAGCCACGGGGCCCGATTCCCAGCCGCCCCCGCGCGCAGTGCAGGCTGGGGGAACATGGCCGCTTCCGGTCTCGCAGTCCGCCTGGCGCGGGGCTGACAGCGGCTGCAGCCCGGTGCGCTCCTCCCTCTGCATCTCGCGCCGGCGGTCGCGGAGGGCGCAGCGGCCTCCTGTTCTCGCGCCATGGAGAAGAGTTCGAGCTGCGAGAGTCTTGGCGCGCAGCTCCCGGCGGCAAGGCTGCCCAGCGAGGACTCACTGTCCAGGTGAGGCCGGGAGCGTGTGTGGATGGAGATGCCAGGGCAGGCGGGAGGAGAGGCTGAGGCTGTTTGTGCGGGAGGGAGGCCCGGGCATGCCGAGGAGAGACCTGGGCCTGGAGAGGCTGGACACCGAAGAGAGGAGAAGCTACAGGCATCCGGTGCGGATATGGAAAGCCCATCAGAGCCGTGCTTCCTCCTCTGGGCCTTTGGTGCGAGAGGTGAAAATACAGTTTTCTTTATGGCCACTGCTCCTCTAATTGCTGCTCATTTTCCGGTCGTGGATTTTGCTCTAGTTGTGTTTAAGGACGCAGCGTTTTTACTTTATCAGGAGTTCTGTTGTCAAGGGCGTGACATTTTCATTTCTCTGCTCCAGTTACTGAGTTTAAGATCCAGCCCATCACCAGACAAGTGGCCTTAGAGAACACTGAGACAAGCATACTTAGATTTGAAATGGAGAGGGGACGCAGCCTCACAGAGCCAGCGTCTCAGTTTAAACATCGGTGACATTACCAACACTGTACATTAGATGTGGTGTCTGGTTTGGAGCACTCTTCAATTAACTATAGACAATAGCTTCATTACAGAAACTTGTTAGTTTAAATTTTAAGCTTAATGCAGGCAGACAGCCACAGGTGATTCAAATGTACAGGCAAGGTCAACTGTTACTTCCACTTACTGTGTTAAGAGTATCTCTAAATTATTTGAAGTTTTGTTTTGTCTACAAAGTACTACAAGCAAAGTAGTGGTGTTTGACTATGGTAGCTCAGCTTTTTTCTGCCCCGTCACTCCAGAGTTGTACTTCTTTGTTTGTTTTTATACAGATGCTCAAATAAGAAATATCTTATTTGCTTTCATATACTCTACAAAATCATCTTTAATATTGCTTAATGTATCACACAATTTCTTTCACCCAGTAGACTGATGAATGTATTATTATTTAAAAGTGTCTTTGTGTGTGTGTGTGTACTTGCGTGAGTTCATGTGTACCACATGCACGGAGGAGTCCAAGAGGTGAGATCCCCTTAAACTGGAGGACAGGCAGGTGTGACCCTCATGTGGGTGCTGGGAACTGAATCCTGCTCTTCTGCCAAAGTAGCAAGTGCTCCCAACTGCTGAGCCATCTCTTCAGCTCTGACTTAAATTTCTATTGAGTTTAGCTATGAGGAGAATTATTTCTATTTGTTAGAGAGGGGAGATTATGAGGGGAGCTTAGCAAAAACTTGAAGTTTATAACTGAAGTTGATAAAGCTCTCATTTCTAATGGTCTCAAATGCTTCTGAGATGAATTTAGTTGAAATACTATGTTTGAATGGTTAATTTCTGGGAATAACAAATATGAAAATGAACACATAACTCATTTCAGGGTCCTTTTTTAAGGTTATATACACTCTTTTAAAGTTGGATGAAAGGCTTTGGAAAGTGTAGTTTCTACTAAAAGTGTGTTGTCTTGATGGAGTGTATCAGTCATTTTAGAGATGTTGGTTTAACTCTGCCTTCTGTGTCAATATAGATCAGATAGTTTTTGGCTTCAAAAGGCCATTTATTTTTTTTCTTTCTACAACATCCAGAAGTTTCTAATCAACTGTAATAGGCAGTAAAGGGTGAATCTTGCTTGGTATTGCCCTCTTTTTTCAGTTCTTGGGTACTCTGCACATGTGGAGCTCCCCTTTCCTAAGGTGCTGTGACAAAATTTACTTGAACATCCTGGTCATCCAGCTGTTTCTATAGTGTTATTTTGTTGGTCTTTCTCTGATTCTTTGTTCAAGTTGGACTCTGGAATATGAATATAAAACAGTACCTACTGTAGGCCAGTTGTGAAGGCTCGGATAGACCTGACCTTCAGCAATGTCTGTAATATTTTACAACCTACCTCTAGTTTCCATCTTCCAGGCTTTCAGGCAACCTCGAGTTCATCTTCAGCTCATTTGCACGTGAAACCATGTGGCACCCTGTGTAGTCTTCGTTGATAGCATTTTCTTTCCTTTTCTATACACAGCCCTGTCTTTATTGAACTTGCTATGTCCTCATTTGTTTCTTTTGCTTACTTTGGCTCCTATTTTCTAATTTTCCCTGTCAATCATTTTAATGTGTCTTTTTTCTTCATATATCCTCAAGCTGTAGCTATTCTGGGTAATACTTGTCTCTGGTTATTTTTATATTTATCAGTTGTGTTCTAGTTGATAAATTTATTAGCTTGGTTGATCCATGTCCCATATTTATGCCTAACTTTCATTAACAAAGCAAGAGGATATACATATACTTAAGGCCATTCACAACTGATTGCTTTTTTGTTGTTGTTGTTTTCTTTTTTTGGAGAAAGTCTCACTGTGTTGCCCAGTCTGGCCTTGAACTAAAATTCTCATTCGTCAGTCTCATGAGTGCTATAATTATAGGTGGGCACCATCTCTCCTACCCTTCAACTTAATTGCATTTTTAAATTGTATGTTTTTCTTAAAGTTATCATCATTTGAAAATAGTGAATCCTGGGTTTCTGTTTCTGTGAATTTTAATCATGGTCTTTAGAAGTAAAGAGTTCCCAGATGACTGAAGCATATTTTGTTGCAAAATCTCATATGTAGTTTTAGCTTCAACGTCACTTGATAGTGATACGTCGGTAGGGAATATGTTTCTGGGTTTTTCCAGTAGTGATAGATTTATGTAAAATCACCTTCTTACAGATTCCCATTGTGACTCATGGCGTGTTTTCTGAGGCAGCTAGCCAGGGCTAGAATTAGAAGGTTATAGATTCAGGATGAGGTGACTGTCTGGTGACCCTTGGCATTGTTTTTATTGGCACAGAGTCTTGCACTGATTGTATTGATAATCTAAAAATTATTTTGAATTTCATTATTTCTAGACCCTAAAAGAACTTTAACATTTTCTTATTTAAGACCCAATATTATTATGAACTCACTAGTACTTTTATCAAGACTTTTTTGTTTTGTTTTTGAAACAGAGTTTCTCTGTGTATCCCTGGCTATCCTGGAACTTGCTCTGTAGATCAGGCTGGCCTAAGATCAAGAGATCTACCTCCCTCTGCCTCCCAAGAGTTAGAATTAAAGATGGTGGCTGGAATTTAGCCACCACTACCAGCCTTACTTTCATGATTTTGTTCAAGTATGAAAGTTAATTCTGAGATTAAAGCTGAGTTTGGGCCTTTATACTTTTTTTTCCTTAAATCTCAGCTTTAAAGGAAATTTCCTGAGTATTTATTATTTCCTGAGTATTTATTAAGCTGTGAATAACATAATCAAAAGTATAGACTCTAAGACTTTTCCTAATAAGATATGTCACAGTAAGGTATACTTATAAAAAGTATTAAATGGAGAAATTATATTAGAGCATACATAAACCAAACCAAAGTAACCTGAATTGTACCCAAGGGAAGGAAATAACTAGGCAGGGCACAGATGTCCAGAAGGCAGGAAGTTTATTTTGGAAAGCTGCCAAATTAATGCTGTTGTATTAAGAACCACCAGGGCCTAAGATTGCCTGTGATTTAGGGTTTTGAATAGTGGAAATTCTCCAGATTCTAGTGTGGAATATTTTCCACTTTTTAGGGAAAATGACTTTGAATATGTAAAGTACTTGCTATCCTTATACCTTGTAATTAGGTGAAATAAATGGCTGAACACTAATTAAGGACCTGAAATGATTTTATAAGACTGATTCCTGCAGGAAGCAGGTTAAAATGAAGCAGGTTAAAATGGTGTTGGTGCTGCATGACTCAGCGGTTAGGAGCACTGGCTGTTCTTCCAGAGGTCTTGAGTTCAATTCCCAGCAACCACATGGTGGCTCACAACCATCTGTAATGGGATCAGATACCCTCTTCTAGTGTGTCTGAAGACAGCGGCAGTGTACTCATACATAAAATATATCAAGTGCTGATGTCAGAAGGTTCCTGATAAGAGACTGTGAAAGATGCCCTCCTAATGGAGACAGTCATAGTTTCAGTCTCCCTCTCTACACAGCTAACTGGGCTCAGTTTCTCCCACTGTGATGAGAGACCTCTGAAAGAGCAAGGTGTCAGGACCCAGGGTGGGAACCACTTTCTTTCACAAACTATTGCTACCGTGAAGAACTTTGAGCTTGAATACTTTTTAGTCTAGATTAAGTTATGACAGATACTGGGCTTTAAATATAAAAAAAATGAACTTTAAAAATATGCTTTAGTATAACCTAAATCACACCCCTCTTCCCCATCTAAAAACTAGTATGTGAAAAATTCTTTTTTTTTTTAAAGTTAGGTTTTGTGTCTATGCAGCTGTGCTTCTCTCTCTCAATCTCTCTCTCTCTCTCTCTCTGAGTGTGTGTGTGTGTGTGTGTGTGTGTGTGTGTGTGTGTGTAGGTACACAGCTCGGTTTGTGCCTTTATGTACTGAATTGTTGTCCAGTTTTGCAATGCTAATGATGGACCCTAGAGCTTCATGAGTGTTAGGGAAGTGGTGTGCTCCATTGAGTTCCACCTAAAGTTGGAATTAAACTTAGAGTACAACAGAAAACCTGGGCTGAGGGTCACTGGAAACAACAAGTTTTTTTCTTTTCTCACATAAAAGAGCACAGAAGTAGTGCATTTGTGGTGTAGTGGATCTGAGTACCAAGGATAAAAATTCTTCATGTGTTTAGATTCCAAAGTTACTGTATGAGCCAACATTGCAGTTGGAGCCTGACATGGAAATTTCAGGTTGAGGGACAGTTTCTCTCTTAAAAGTCATGCTTTTGGAGATGATAGGTTGCTTGAAACCTACTGTCTAGTGCCTCTTGCATGGACCTGTGGCATTGGCCAGCTGTAAGGCAGTCTAGGATATTAAGTTCTGTGGGCTCTAAGACTTCATGCTAAGGCAAAGCTTAGAGGTTTTGATTTAAGGAATAGGAGAAAAAGAGAGACAGACAGTATAGGAGACAGGCAGTAGATTCTTCCTGACACAGATTAACCATTTACATGCACGAAATATGTTCCTGTGATGCTCATGTAAGCTGGAGATGCCTCTGGTTGCCAGGCAGTAG